AGCTCCTTTATGGTTACTAAAAGCTCAAGGTGAAGCTTCTGTTTCTGGCTGGATTTATATTAAAACAAGAGAGAACGCTACAGTCGAGCAAGCCCGACAGTGTAATACCCTGTACCCAGGTAAACTTCCGTCACTGAGTTATATGCTCCCATAGCAGCAGCAAAAAGAGGAAGAAGAAGAGCGAACTTGTTGCTGCAGTTTGTGGGGGTTGTACTGTAGAGAATTTGTTTCGCTAATAACTTTTCTCAGAATTGACCGAATTGGATAAAATTTTGAAATTTGAACAACAGTAGACAATTATATATAAACTATGTGTGCAAAGTTTGGTTGAGGTAGCATTTGAAATGTGGACGCTATTGACGAAATTCTGTAGCGGGGGAAGGGGGGGAAAATTAAAAAAAATAAAATAAACTCGTCCTTACTCGGACCTAGGAGAATCTGGATGCCAACTTTGGTTATTCTAGCTTTTATAGTTTCTGAGATCCTCGCGTTCATCCAGACGGACAGACGGACAGACGGACGGACAGACGGACGGACAGACGGACGGACATGTCTAGATCGATTTCTCTCGTCATGCTGATTCAGAATATATATACTTTATGGGGTCGGAGATGCTTCCTTCTGCATGTTACATACTTTGCACAAACCTAATATACCCTTTTTACCCTACGGGTACAGGGTATAATTAGCAGATATACATTATTGCTCGACATTTCTTTCCTACAATTGTTAAATTTCAAATATAGATTTATTTCAACTAGAGCCTGCCTCATTGTAGAAGGTAGACTGTATCCAAATTGCTCGTTTAATATAATTTTGATTTCCGTCAGAAACAATTATTTGAATTACACACCCCGATGCCCTTAAAGCCATTACGAATATTTCAAAGTCAACTAAATGCTGGCAATTTACATGCAAATAGGCAAGTCAGTGTGGTCCGGCAAGTAAATCAAGTTGAAGTGCATGTCTAAACAATAAAAACCACATTAAAATGATATTCAATAAAACAAGAACAACAATAGTAGCTTCTGTAGATGGAGCAGCAGCACATCTGGCGCAGCTGGCGGCTTGGCGCACTTGACCTGAAAACTCATTGCAATCAAAACAGGAAGCAGGCAACGTCATTATGATGATGATGTTGGTGACGGGGATGATGATGATGAGGAGTGCGAAACACATTTGGAGACATGGAAAGGCGTCTCGCCTGATGAAGATAGGCCAAATGGCAAACAGGCAGGCTGTGTGCAACATAAACTCACAGTTTTGTTGCCGGACCATGCAGCAGCATGGACAGCATGAGTGACAAACTAATTTCATTACCAACAGCTGCCGCTGCCGCTGCCCGAGTCGCCACACTTGCCACAGTCGCTACAGCAGTTCGGGTGAAATCCGGTCATAATGCTTGTAATAATAATCAACAGCCCGAGAGCCAGGCAACTGTGACGAGCAGCAGCGACTCCTAGTCGCAGCAATGATAAGCAGGCAGGCAGGCAGGCAGGCGAGAGCTGGACATGGACATAAGTAGAAGCAATTGCCATTGCAAAAATAGAACAATTACACTAAAAATAAAAACAAAAGCTAGATAAGTAGGGCAGAGCCAGCGAACCGGGCGCAGGGCAGGGGATGGATGGAACATGCCAAGCTGTGTGTAATATGTGCACAAATTGAAAATAAAGTTTTGTAACGAAATGTCGCACCGGAAATGAAACTCACAGCATGAAGCACAGACGCACCGGCCAGAGCCATGACAGTGGAGAGGAGCCGAGCCGAGCAGCGCAGAGCTAGCTGCCAGCACAATCGTCAGCGCACTGTCAGCAAAGAACTGTAGCCGAATGTGTAGCCAAGCGTATAAACTGGATATAAAAGACATTGCGGCGGGCGAGGGAAAATCGAGAGGAGAGCTGCCAGGCATTGTTTGCCACTATCGCAGCAGAGACAGCAGCGATGCCGATGCCGTGTAGTCTAGGCGCAGTCTCGACACACACACACACATACACACACACATGCCCGCCTTGCCATAACAAAAGATGACATTTTATAGCAGGCAAGCAAAGGGACGTGCTCGGCATCTGGGAACTTTAGGCTAAGCAGCAATAGCGATGCCTTCACTTGACTTGGTTATGGGTTTGGGTTTAGGTTTGGGTTTGCGTTTGGCTTGACTTTGGCGAGAGTCTCGAGTTCCGAGTCCCGGGTAGCATGTCAAAGGCGCAGCTGCAGCATAAAAGTACATAAACCTAGAAATGTCATGTTTATTTTCATTTCATAAGGAAATTGTCGGTCTATAGTTTTGGCGCAACGGCAGCTGTCTCGCGCAGTGTTCATGGCACCTTGAAAGCTCGGCTAATAATAGAGGAAGAATGGCCAGGAATCTGAGCTATAATCAGATCATGTGGGATGCTGTTGCATGCATTTTTTTTATGATCAATAGCCCCACACAGTTGAGCCATTTATAGCTTTGGCCAAAAATTTATAGTGCATAATTAGTATATATACACGATGAATAATGCTAAGTTGCCGTGTAAGTTGATATTCGTGTTGTTGACAAATGGTGAGCATTTCGAATTGTGCTTGCACCATCAACCTCTTATTACGTTTCTGTATGAGTTGTTTGAAGGAGAATAAGACGACAATTTTAATCTTAATTTATTAAAACCACATCTACAGTTGACCCATCATGATGGAGCACTTCCCATGGCCATGGGAAAACATAAGTATGTACTAATTGGATGTAATTCTCAAATTTGGGTAAAAAGTTCTAAGAAGTTGAAAAAAATAAAAATTAAAAAATAAGAATAAAAATATTTAAAAAATTAAATAATAATAATCGTAATCAAAATCCAGGCGTTCATTCAGACAGACGGGCATGGCTATCTATACAAATTAAATACAAAATTGAACTATAAGTCTACTAGTATCTGCCACGCCTATAATGGCACCAGGTATGCATTACATGTTCCAAATATTATTAAATATATTTATCGCCAAAATTTTAAGGAAACTTCTTTTTATAGCCAAATATTTCTGAAAGGTCACACATATATCAACTTAAATTCTTTAAGGAAAATACCATTTAGTTTAGTTCTTTTTAATTTCTAAAACGTCTCACATACGCCATGTTGACCACATCATTTCCGAAAAAAATTGTATACCCTCTTGATTAACCATTGCCTCTACAAGCGTTTTAAAGAGCTCAGCCCGGACTACATAAATTAATTAAGAGCAAAATATGTGATCGAATAAAAAATCATTGAAAATTTTATCAGCAGGCACAAATTGTCATTTTCTTAGGTTGCTGGCTACGGCTTCTGTTGCTGCTGCTGCTACCGCCTCTGATGAGCTCACGTAATCAATCAACTTTGATTAGTATTTGTGAGGCACATGCAGAAAATCACACTCAGACTCATGTAAATGGACATATAGTATAACCCACATGCCGTGGAGCTAATCTAGGCACAGAGGCTGACAAAAATCAATATGTCTTGATGTTTGATAAAAGTGAAATAAATTATATGGCTCGTAAAGTGAGAGTGTCAAATGACCAGGATATGGCAGAGTAGGGAGAACATGAAAAGCTATTGCTATTGTCTAGGCCCAGCAAATGAAAAGTGAAGATGTATGATATTAGGCTAAGAACAGTGATAAATTTTGCATTAGCCTGAAAATGAAACTCTTTAAAAACATTGACATACTCGTATATGAGATTTGAACAGCCGCGGCTTTAAGAGTTGGAAAATGTACGAATTGCTTTAGCTGCAAGAGAAAGCTATAAATACTTTTTAAAGATAAATAAATCCCTGACATAAGCACCAATCAATGTCAATGGAAAAACCCCAAACCACATACAAACACATAAAGGAGTCAGGTGGATGCTACAAACACGAACAAGGACACATACACATTGACTAAGCGGCTTAGCTTAACACGCTGCTTCTAGTGCCACCTATGTATGTATGTGGAAGGCGGTCCGCCTAAATGAAAAAATGTCAAGGAAAAGCGGGTAAAACGTAGCTAAAATAATAACAAAAACAAAAAATGTAGACAGAGGCGAGCACGGTCGGCTTTCAAATACCCATTTTAAATACTCCTATGTAGCTATTTCCAAAAAAAAGACACAAATTAAATGCTCTGACTTTTCTAGTACGCTACAATTTCCGAATATTAAGGACTCTACTACCCTACTGTTTTGAAATTAATTATCAGCAGCTAGTTGATGTTTTATTAAGTATAATGTTTTCTTCTTACAATATTTGACGACAACTATCTCCTCACACTTGCACAACTTCTATTGAATTATTTCATTAATGAACCACGTCTACTAAGTATAAGAATCAATATTTGAAATAACTCACTCCAATTTGTTTAAACTAAACTGTTTCCCCATTTCACCATTAATATACTTGTATATTTATTATTATTTATGCGTGACTCTTTCTATTAGGCGTTACAAACCTCTCCCATAATAGCATATTACCCTTTGAGAAGGGTGCGTAAATACCAATTTTTATCACACTTTGGTCATTTGAAGCGTAAATCAGTGGAAGGAGTTTGCTAGAAATGTGGTTGAAAAAAAATTACTCAGGCCAAGAATAGAGAAAGAGAGAGAGAGAACACAGAAAGGAATGCGATAAGCATTAAAAGTTAAGTAGCATTGGAAAAGTGCCGAAAAGTTAAAAATTAGGAAGCAAGGAATGCAATGATTTTGTAACCTAGCAAAAAGTTCAATTAAGACACATATTAAGGAGGAAAACGTACTGAAAAGAAGAAAATATGTCAACAGATGTGCAAGTTAAAGCATCCTCTTTTTTTTCAAGCGTTGTGTAAGATAGTTTTTATTCTTTTCTATTAGTTTTATTGTTATTATTAGAATAACTTACATTAATGTGCTAAAGCATACGAGTATTTAGAGATTCAAAGGATAGTGACGCCTCTTATGTCATAAATCATCAAATTATCAAAGTATTTTACATCATACTCTATATCAACGACTGCTCGAAATTTTACGTGGTTATAATGAAACGACAAAGAGGTGGTGACACAAATAACGTTTCAAACAAGCGGCTATGCTCCAACCTTAATCCGGAATTCGACAAAACTGCGGGCAGAAATGTCGGGCCAGCTTCAATTTGGCATATTCCTCTAAATCTGATACAGGATATTCGTGCGATTCTCACTCCAAGTTCACACGAACGTCTGAGACAAGTCTCCCAGAGCTTTCGTGAGGCCGATGAGTTGCTTGTGCTGCATCAGTATCGTTGTCATTTGCTTCGGGCACAGAGTCTGGATCTCTACAGACACATGACGCTTCGAGTGAGTATTGACAGTGACTCTCATTTAATCAATGTCAAAATACTGGCATCTGTGCCCAGATGCTGCACCATTGCTCGCTCTATTATGAGGCGGCCGGTTGCAGCTCATTGTTGGCTGAAAGTTTGCGATTGTTGGATCATCTTGATCCAGCGCATCCCTACGCGCCTGATTTGCCAACATTACGTCATGTGCTGATTGAATTTTTGGGCTCATCCGATCAACTGGTGCTGCAGCACGATGCTATTTTGGCCAAGTTCGTGTACACAATATCTCTTTATGCTGTATTTCTGGTAAGCGAATTATAGGTGTGTTTTTAAAATCGCTTTCTTCACATGTGTTCTGTAGAGCTACAGCGGAAACAGCCAACTGACTCGATCTCAGACACCTGGCGAACAGATGAGCATTAGCTTCGAGCTACCCGGCGTTTTATTTGCCCTTCTGGAAGCTTATCAGCTAGGAAATGTTATTCGTTGCACACGAGAGCAACGTGCTGCCTTACTGGTCATTTTTGCAGAACTTCTTATGGCACACCAGCTTAAGAAGAATTTCAGGTAAATGACGTTCGCTACACATTAAAAAAATGCATTTGAATTTTTGTTCATTCTCTTTTTGTAGAGGATTCTACGTGTATTCCGGCACTGCCCCCATTGTCTATAGCTACGACCACAACATGGCCACAAGTGATAAGAAGACAAAAACGACCTTCCGTTTCAAATTTACTGGCTGCAGATATATGAGTCAACTTTTTGAGCAAATGCGCGAGCATTTGAATTATGAATATGCACCGCCACCTCCTAAGACCTGTGAAGGCTTTCAAATGCAGATGCAACTTTTCCAAGATGTCGGCAATGCCATCAAACTGAATGCAGTATTCGATTTCACAGCAAATTAATGCTGAAATAAATTGCATGTTACCAACTCCCTTCTTCCTTAAACGTGACTCGTGCAACTGCTGCTGCCTCGAGCCAGACTCATCTCGTTGCTTCCTTTGTTAACTTCTGCCTTTTCTGTTGTTCTTCGGTCGACTGTGCGCTGTCCTTTGCTTACTTTAGCACTTTATTAAAAAAGTGCAGCGTGTTAAGGCAACTGCTGACGTGAGTTGCTGTAGCGAAGGCTCATTAAGCCGACGCCCACATGTTCAGGCCATACAATTTCAAAGCCAAACATCTCATATTGCCTGCCACCGAGCACCGCATTTTATATACGTGTACGGGTAAAAAAAATGCCTATCAACATTGGCCTGGCAACAAAAAGCCTTCATTAAAACGCAAATATTCGCAGTTGTATGCGCGGGCTTACGATCAGCAGGCCGACTGCGCTACATATTAAATGAACGATAGTATGTGGGTGTTGTGTGTATTGCGGTCTCCAATCAAGTGCCGGTTTCAATTGCAGCCGCAATTACGCTAAACAAAATTACGTATTTGTAAAATACCAAATGAAGAGCACCTCCATCAGCTCCCCCCTCGTATCCGTACGAATATACTTGTATGCATATGTGTGTCTGTAGTTGAGTACACAGCAAATATGCGCATACACAAATATGTGTATTCATTTAACTGCAACCACCGCATATTCGTATTTGCCAATTTAATCCGAATTGGGCGGCAAAATTTCCCGCAAATCGCACAAAAACTCTCTCTACAAGCTGATTTACAAAAGCAAATTAATTTTGTTGCATACTTTTGTGCTGCGCGAAAAAAAATTACTCGAACAAGCGCCAAAAATTTCAAAAAAGTGCACCAATTAGTGAATTAAAGTGCATTTTTTAACTACTATAATTATGTAGTATAGTAAAATTTAGTAATTTTAGCTAATTGCAAAAATTTAAGTCATTTAGCAAATTTACAAAAGCAAGAGCAAATTATTTTGCTGCATTCTTATTACTCGAGCAAACGCCAAATATTTCAAAGCATTGCTTTGTAGTCAAACATTTATTACAATCAAACATTTATTACAATTCAGAACAATAAATAAGAATATAGAATATACAATATATACTAGAGTAATAGCGATGTACATTTTACAATTTTTCATTTAGTTCTAGTTTTATTGAAAAACGTACTTGTAGTAAAATAATCAGAGCAACATAAATTGAATGCTTTGGAATAAAACTAAAGATAGCTAATAACAAATATTTAGTCTGCAGCATTAACATTTATTTAGCATTTAGGTTATCTATTATTAGTAAAATATAATCAGAGGTGAAAACTGGAAGACAAATCGAATAAATGGAAGTGTTTGCAAAGTATGTAACAAATGTTTCGACAAATTCAGAGAGAGATGAAAACTGGAAGACAAATCGAATAAATGGAAGTGTGTGCAAAGTATCTAATACGATGATAGGCCTACCTCATTAAGAGCAGCCATACTGCAAATTCATGCAAGCCTTGCGCATAATGTATGGGATTATGCACTCTTAGTTCGTGGCACCTAGTTTTCAGGTTGCCAAACGGTTGCCATTAGCAACAACGTCGATGCAATGGACAGCCTACCTAAAACCTATTGGCAATCCTGCTCCATGACAATGCACACCCCCAGAACGCAATCACAGTTACAACAAAGGCACTTCTTCTACGTCTCGTCGCCTTCACACTTTATGACCGGGCTTATGCATAAAGAGTGCAATGTTGCCTGCCAAAAACGTTCAGAACAATTCAGTACCCCATCACAAACTAACGCTTTTCCAATTTCCGACAAAAAACCAACTGAATGTGGCCCAACTGCTTCCAAATACAAATGCAACGTATCGCCATTTAGTGTGCCATTGTATTTGTGTGCTTGCCTCAAACATAACTCATGTACGCACGAGCCCAGACCGATGCTCAGTTACAAACGCACTCACCAGTTGTGCCACTTCTTCGGATAGATAGAGGCCTTCTTCTAAAAAAAAAAAGCTAAAATACCAAATTATCGTTTTATGATTTCTGCTGCAATTTTTAGTGAAAAGCAATGACTCCACAAAATATATCTAACCAATTTTTACTTAAAAATAATAATAATAGTTGGCCGATTAATTGAATATACTTGAAATAGAACATTAAAATATGGTTATATAAGCCACAGTAGACAGGAATCTTTCTTTTTCGGACATGCATTAGGCTCGTTATCATTTTCTTAATATTTTAAGTTTGAGCCCTTTCGATAATATAGCAATGACTCCACAAAATATATCTAACAAATTTTTACTTAAAAATAATAATAATAGTTGGCCGATTAATTGAATATACTTGAAATAGAACATAAAAATATGGTTATATAAGCCACAGTAGACAGGAATCTTTCTTTTTCGGACATGCATTAGGCTCGTCATCATTTTCTTAATATTTTAAGTTTGAGCCCTTTCGATAATATTTGATCTCCAAATGGCCAAAGCGGCATCACTGATACACCCACATACCCATAATCAACTCCAGGAAAGCATCAGAAGCGCATTAATAATGCGCTCAGCAATCGAAAATGTAATATGCGTGCTTAGAGTGGGGACATTCTGGCAATGTTCACGAACGATGACAACAATATGCGACGCTCTAATGAGCAACAACTTCTACTGAAGGTAGATGGGTCCTGAGTAGAGGGCGTTACCCATTCTAATATTGTCAAGTAATTAATTTGTTCAATGGCATGCTCGAGTTGTAAGTGAAACCAGTTAAAGTTGGCGACGATAACGACGACGAGGCAGACACTTGAAAATTCAAAAGTAACTACAAAGTGGCAAAGCAGTTGAATATTCGCGGGGGCGGGGCGACGGCTTGGCGACGTGTTGATGCCGTGACTGCCAAGCACCAACTTGTCGTGTCTGCCTGACGAAGTGTGTATCCGGCGAGCGACAGAGGACAAATCGCAGGCACATACTACACGCACACATCCATCGTTTCCAACGAACACCCACCTACCCAAGCCATGCACAATGGGATTATTTTTAATTCGCAGAAAATGCAAAACAAATAAATATTTAAAAAAATTTTGACATATGTATATAGACCTATAACAATTTAATTCTGGCATAGCTAACAGGAATCCCACATTGTGTGTTCTTTTCTAAGTATATGACAGTATTACAAATCTGTAAGAGTGGTCTCTTATATAAAAAGTGTCCAACCGTCGTGTTTTGCTCTAATCGGCAGGCTGATTCGCAATGTAATAATATTAAAAAAGAATAGTAATAATAATAAATACGAGTAAAAATAAAACAATTTAATTCTAGGCATCAGCTTTCTGAACTTTCCCCCGAATCCCGGTTCGCAAAGTATTAAATTGTTAATAATGAGATATTTAATTGCTAAGCACATGTTTCAAAATCAAATTTAAATATGTATTTCTACAGAAACGTATATTGTTGTTCTAACAAACAGGCGATCATTATTTGTAATTTTTCAGGTTTTTTAATTTTGCATAACGTAATTATTGTGTGCGGCATTTATGACTTACTTATTGTTACTTATTCGTGCAGCCTATCTCCAGTTCATCCCACTGTGGAACGCACAGGCACCCCAGAACATTCCACAAACACAGAAGCTTAAATTCACACTCCCACCCGAACTCTGTAAGTATTTGCTGTGCATTGCGTGTGAAATCGGAAGTAGCTGGCTGCTGACTTAGTCGTAGTATTCAGAGTGCTTGCCATGGTCTCGCCTGGCGACAGGTGCTTCCGCATTTGAATGTCAACGGAAACCGCAACGGTACAACTTAGATAAACGTTTGCTATTTAAATATGTGTATCGTGTACCGTGCATGTACTATATGTACCGTTATTGAGCAGTACTGCTGCTACTGCCATGACATGTTTGAGCAACTGTACTTACAATGTCGATCCAAACAGCAGGCACATCAAGGTACATACGAGTGGTTGCTTTCCCAGATATCTTGTATAGTTCCTTGCGGTTGAGACGATAAGCTTCGCTATAGCTGAATAAATATTTCGTTGCTGTTGGGCGTGGTGGTGGTTGAAAAAAGCGATATAAGATTTAAATTTAACATACATATACAGAAATTGAAAATTTAACTTTACATAAAACTTAGTTAATTCTGGCACGCAAGCAAAATGCACGGACGGTCGACGAAACATAGCGGGCATAGAAAATTAATCAAACATATCAAATTCACCTAGCCCTTCTTCAAAATTAACTCTTTTAGCCCAAACCATCTGAATGTTCAAATACAAGCTCATCCACCTAATTTGCACTTTCAAAACGTCCGACTGCAGATATATCAGGTCCTCTATACTCAGGTTTTCGAAAACCACTTAAAATGACTCCATCGCTGTAATCAATGCTGGGAAGAAATTTCCTATTGCCTTGAATTGTTTATTTGATCTTTAAAAGAGCCTAATGAGGCAACATTGAATAGAGATTGAATGATTGTTACAAAACACAAAATTAAAATTGTAACAACCTATCATCTTCGCTTGATTTTATAATGATTTTGATGAAACAAAATGAGATTTATTGAATATTGATTACCAAAAACTAGTAAACACGTTTGATATCCGCACGGCAACGATTTTGTTTACTATAAAGAAAACAGTAGTTTATTTCTGTTATTATTACTACCAAAAAAATGGTGTGGTCGTAAATTATTTATTGTTGGTGGGAAAGTTAGCTTAAAGACAAAAATCGGACCATAAAATCGAACTATGTGATGTGTCAGTTTGAAATGCAACTGAATTATATGTAATTTACTATACTTGTATTACTCACTCGCAAGTTAAAGAGTCTAATAAAAGGATTCATCAAAATATTTCCGTTCAATGGAATTTCTTATAATTGTTCTCCTTCCTTCTACCGCTCTCTGTCTCCGTGTGATCCATCAACTTACTTTCATTTTAAATTTTGTACTCTTCTGCATTCCAGCTGAATATACACAGTTCATTGCAATGCAATTGAGTTGTGCTGAAGTGATATCAATAAACAGAAATACATTTCTCAATTTCCAAAGCATTCAATAAAAAGGCATTCCTCGAAAAATGCACTGATGCATTGCATTGCTAATGGGCAGTTAGATAGGAAGTTGATTAAATTAAATTCGATTTCCATTCAATAGGCAAATGCCAGAAACGTTTTAAAATCCCCGACAACACCTGCAAATGCCAAAAACAATGCATAAAAATACCCAGCTAGATAAAATGCAAAATGAAATCAATTAACAATAAATGCGCACAATTAAATTCAATGCACAGTGGGTCAAAAATAAAATTTAAAAAACCACCACTTAATTAGGCTCAACAAATCCCAAACAGAAAAAAGTATATTCGAAAGGGAGCGGGCAAGCCAGACATATTTGCCACACAGAACCAAATGATGTCCGGCAGGATTTTAAGTGCGAAACAATGTAATTTCATGGTAATCAGTCGACTGGGTTAGGATTTAATGAAACTCCAACTGGAGCGTCAAACTAACTACACAAATTTCCGGTTGTGCGCACAAAGCCGATACCAAAAGGAAGTTACGTATATACGAGTAGACCTTGTATAGCAACCGAGTCGTCCGCCATTGGACACATGGCTAAAATGGAGCAAAAAATTGTCAGCTTGCAATTTTCTATTCCATTTAAAATAAATGAAAATTGCCCTTATATGGGTGTATGGCATAGTTTTAGGCACTGGCCAGTGCGTGTTAACGTAAATAAATTACACCCACACAAACACACTCACACGCAAAGAGCGACAATCGAGTGGTCAGTGGCATGCAGCTTATAAATCAGCGCAAAGCGCAAAACGTGAAAGTCTTTTGGGCGCAGGAAAGGGCACTGCTAGATAGATAGATAGATGGACGAGTATGTGGAACGAGCGGTTTGTTTTGGCTGCTGGAATGAGAATGACGGTTGGATGGATGGATGGATCTGTGTATAGATGGCCGCATGGATAGCCAGCTGAATAGATTGCTTGTATAAATGGTTTGCTATTTAGTTTCGGTTTGCTGCGGTTTGACAGTGTTCTTCGTGTGGGTCACTGGAGAGAGCTGGGGTTAGATTTTCGGGGCAATCGTCACTTGGCTTGTTTTTTTTTTTTTTAACTTTTTGTGTAACAATTAGAAACTTAACAAAAGCAAAATATTGCTCCAATTTAAAGTATTTGGATTCTTCATGAGATATATTTGTAATTTGTTGTTATGATTTTTCTCCTTGTTTGTCGATAAAATAAAATAAAGTTTAAATGTGTGCCAAAACAAGTCATGCCAACTGCAACAGATATTTTACCACAAGAAATATTAAATATTGTTAACCAGAAAACGTCAATCTAAACTGCAGCTTTCTAAAATAATAACATCGATAAATATTGACAAATATCAATTAACTATTTATAGTTTTTATACAAGTCTCTAGAATAAATTTAATTACCTCATCTAGATTTTTATATTGTTTTGTTAAGTCGACAACCAATGTTTGTTGACAATATAATAAATAAAATAAAATAAAATAAATGTACGTAACAATTTAGTGTCATTTTTAAATTGTTCATTTTATCCACAGAAGAATAAACTTTAGTTTGAGGTTTCCCTAGCTACTTGTATACTATTTATATAATAGTTTACAATTAATTGCTTTATTAAACTTTACGATTTTTAACCAAATGTTTGCTTAAAACACATTATGAGACCAGTACAATTATCGATTATAGCTAGGCAGCAGCATTCTACTGCAATTCAAATGCATTTCTAACCCTCCATATTCCATTTGAAAGCTGCATCAATGCATTGATTGATTGCTGCGGGTGCAGCTTGCAAAGGAGGCTGCAAGTGGCGTTGGTTGCAACCGCATACCACAAAATGTGGGCACAAATTTCAGTCAGTGTGTAACTGAAAGCGATAGGCGGCGCCGACATGTAGTTCTTTAAATATCAGTACAGTACAGTGCAACGCAAAAATTTTTGCAACTTAATTAAATAGCTTTCGATAAATATGTGCTGCATACTTTTCGGAGCTGCCACATTAACCCTAAGCAATGAACCCAATTAGGCGTCACTGTCTCGACCCCACGTTCCAAAGCCACAAGGCAGCAAAAGTAAAATTCAAAGCTACTTCAAAACTAACAACAACAAAAATTAAAATATAACACGGCACTACTGCATCTTATATTTTTTGGCATTGAAGCAGAATGTCACTAAAACTATTGATGTTCTTCAGTTCTTTCCAGACGTGGAAGAAAGTTCTAGATTTTATACCCAAACTGTTAAAATACATTTTGTAACTTTCGAATTAAATTAAGTTAATTTATCACAGATTAACATTTAAAAAATGTAATACTTGAACCGTTTTATTAAGCATGCGTTGTTTAAGTATTTAATATTTTTAACATGATTATTACTTATGTATATAATTTATGAAACGTAAATGGAACCAAAAAGTAGTAGCATAGTTTAGGCAAATAACGTAGGAATCCCAGATGTTCATGAAACTTATTTGCATTAAAAACATTGGTCGTTTTTCCGGTGTTTTTAAAATACGCTAGCAAAGTTTTAGATTAAAATTAATAAACTTAAGTTACTTACTTTTTAAGAAATATTTATTTTACATTTAATTTTGTTATTGATTTTTCAATTTTTACTAAAGCTCTCTGATTAACTATGAAAAACTATGATATTGTTAAATTTGATTTCACTAAGCAAACAACAACAAAAAACACTATGAGCTATTAAATTAAATGATGATGATGTCCATTGATGCAGTTTTCCCTATTTTAAGAACCCAAATGGCATTAATAATAAGTTGAAACTCGAAACGCGACGAAATATTTTACCCGTTTAACAGTTACTACGTGTAAGTGCTTTATTGTTAAGCGCTTAGATTCTGCACAAATTGTATTTTATTATTATATTTTATTAATGCACGCATGAGCGCAATGAGTGCATGCAATAAATAGTTTAAATCACTCTCCAATAAAATCAGAGCTGATAGTAATCTACTAGAATATTGTCTCACAGCTTTTTTTATCATCTCATTGGAAATTCCAGGCGGTAAGCTCACATTATGAATATAAAGCGGTGCCGAGGCCGCTAATTTCGCAAATATAGTAAACAATTGTGCTTTCAAGATGTCCCACGCGTTTCTCCAACTCGCAACGGTTCTGAGCTGTTGCCTGGCACTGTGCTGGGGCTTTAACGTGCCCCAGGCCCGTGTTCAAGTAAACTCACCGCAAGGTTTTGAGGTTTCAATACCCGATGTACCCGGCATATCGCTGTTTGCATTTCACGGCAAAGTCAATGAAGAAATGGACGACCTCAGCGATCAAACATGGGCTGCCGATATATTGAGTGCACGCAATGGACGCTGGACTTATCGCAATCGCAATACCAAGCTAAATCCGGGTGATGTGCTCTACTACTGGACTACAGCGCGTTACAACGGGATTGACTATCACAACTACAATCAGCGCTTTCAGGTGGGCAGAAGCGGGGAGCGCACATCGCATCGAATCGACCTTAAAGGCAAGGGCGGAGAATCGCAAAGTGTTGTTGTAAATGGCAACCCAACAATTAATATACATGTGGAATAAAAGTACGAGTATTCAATAAAAAAACCAAATTAGGCATGTTATTCACACTCACATTTTTAGACGATTCTCTTGATGTACGAGTATGTTTCTCTAATTAGCATTAAACCTGCACTCAAACAAAAAAACAATCAACAATTGACTTAACATGTTTTATTTGAAACTATTGAATTAATATACCTATGCAAGGAGCTGCAGAAAATCCTAGAGATTTTTTTCTTCTTTGTGTAAATTAACTACATAACTTAAAATAATATTAAAGAATCAAGGTCTAATGTTTCTTAAGAAGAATTTGTGCCAAATTAATGCGCCAACCGTTCAGAAAATGCTTTTTAATTTAATTGATGAGATATGTTTGTGTTAATGCTGAAAACTTTTCCCAGTAGAAAATGATGTTTCCAACTCGATCTTGCTCGAATTAGCCATATAGTTTAGCCAAATGTACGATAATATTAAAAAGTAGTTTTTTTTATCGATATCTGTCCATTTCCGTTTGAAGGTACTAACCAAATCATTCCTTGGAATTTGTCTTTGTCTTGTCTCTCTCTCCACCATTTTCTGCTCAATCTTGACAATTTGCGGAAACACAAATACCGGGTGAATATTTTTCCCTTCACATGTCAAAAGTCGTTGCTTGTTTCATTGTTTTTCAATGGCCGTAAATCATGAAAGCACTTTGTCACAGATATGCAAGTAAGCATCCGAGTAATATAAATCATGATGAAAAGTTTTCAGCATGCTTGTGAAAACTGTGTACTACATACGAGTATACGAGTACATGATGGCTGCTTCGAATTGGCCAATTCACGACGCGCTTATAGTGAACAGGTAAAGTGCTCGACTATCCATAAACAAAGCCAGCTTTTGGTCCATTTAACTCTCACTTAGAAGACAAACAAAAAACAGATAACAACTTTCGCCATGCTGGCCGATTCGAACAAATGAAACGCACTCGCACTTTTAGTTTTATCTTTCGGCAAAAGTTGACAATTTGGCCAAGCAAAAAGGAAGCTAAATGTGTTAATAAATAATAATGAACAGGTTTTACTTACTGTCCAGTTCAGCTCCTCTTATGCCATTTTCAGTTGCCTGCTCTATTTCAACTGCTAGGACCATGTCTGTATGTATGTACATACATATATATTTTATGACCTGCATGACTGACCGCTTTTAGGAGCAGCAAAGCTTTGTGGCACAACATAACGCAGCTGCTGCTAATGCTGCAACAGCCAGGCACAAATTTTACATTATTTATATGAAAGCACAAATCACAAACCTAGTTCAACCCACATACTCGTACAGTGCCTACCAAAAACGAACAACATAATCTTAAAATTTTACGAAATGCATTAAAAAAATAAGCGAAATACATTTTGTTGTTTAATATTAGGAACAAATTTAACTTTGAAGAGAGATTACAATGGCTGAAGGATATTTGAATCCGTACTATTCATAGTAGTAAAGTATAGTAGAAAGTATACTCACATTTTCGCATTATACCTATGCACATTTGTCAAAACCCATTTGTGTCAGCAAATTAAGCATTTATGCCAAAAGGTAACAAATACATTTCTACCTCAGCACAAAAATCTGTATACCCTCTACCGAAGTGGTGAAAGAGTACACTCAAAAGTCCTCTTATACATGTAACAGACAGAGGAATGTTGTGTGAATAAATATACAATATTCATCATTATTTTGTTTATATTCCATCTGAATGATCTTCTTTATAAGTCTAAATCTTTATAGGTTTTCTATCCATATTCCTAAGGATCCTATCAATCGGTGCACTATTTTATAAAGCTGTCTTCAGAAAGAGTGGTGCAACAAAGTTTTTTTAGTCGAATGAGGAGAGGGGAGAGAAGGCGTTCAGGGTATACAAAAGTCAAGTCTGCATGACTTTATATTTCGACTCGTTTTTTGCTCATTTCTATGAAAGGGCCAGCTAAGCACCGCCTGTCAGCAACATTTGCGAGCTGTTCATTTGTCGTGCGCTCATTTTCTCATTTCGCGTTTTAGTCTGTGCATGTGTATGTACATATGTATGGTATATATGCGTATGTGTGTTTGGAAATTGCAAAATTCCAGCTAGCGACAAGTTTGTGGCAGTTGCAACTGCCCTGCGGCAAACTGAACTAGTTTTGTGCGGGGGACTAAGAACGACAGTACCTTTACTTTCTATAAAAATCAATCGATAATGTTTTAGAATGAAAATATGAAAAATAATCCACCTTTTGTGTAATTTCTTATTACTATAGTTACACAATTGAAACCAAATATCCATAACTTAAATGGGAAAATTTGCATAATTTCTGTAAAGGGCACCACATTAATGTACTCTTTAAACAAATACATACTTGTAGATATGTCTTGATCAACGTTATCTCAGATTTTGTTCCCAATTTAGTGTTTCATTTATTTAAATTTGAAGCTAGCATTATTTATCTAATCAGGAAACCATACGATTTCAAACAAATAATAGTAATTTATAATTATTTATTTTGCTTACGCATTGCGAATCATTAGTTAAAATAATAATTTAATTTAATGTTAAATAAGGAAATGCTATCACAAATTCGTTGAACGGAACTAGTCGCAACATATAAAACACAGACTAGTGCAATTGCTTTTAAAAACCACTTTGATGCTGCTGTGTTGGTGCACTTGGCCTGTGAACTAATGCACACATGTACACGCACACACACATACATGTATACTCGCCATTTTGTACATAGCGAGGTGCTAAAATAACTTGTGACAACTTTATGTGCGTCTTTCATCTTCCTTGCACTTTTAAACATATATCCTGCAGCTATAAAGAGCAAAATAACGCGAAAAATTAACTTTGACTAATACATCAAGAGAGCTATTTTTGTTTGGGGTTGTCTTTCGTCAGTAAAGCAGTGGATAATTGCTTTTTGGGGAAAAAAGTAATTCAAATCAGATCAATTTATTTATTATTACAAGTATTTAAACGATTTCAATAAAAACACATTATACTTAATATAAAATTACAAATTCCTCTAAATCATCAGAAACAACTACAATGCAAATGACAATAAGAACCTGTATCGGCTTTTCAAATCTACAGCTTTTGTTATATTTGGCACAAGACAATCAATCTGAACGAAACCAATATCCTAAATATTATTGAACTACCAGCGCTGGACTAAAGCAACATTTTTTAATTTAAACTGGATCAAAATTTACGAAAAGGTTTTTGAATGAAAACATTTCTATAAGTACAAGTTAAGGCCCTTGTAGCCATGATATGTAGTTTTTTCATATCAAGTTGTAGTGTTAACTCTGAGATAGCTATTAAAATGCTTGTGGTTTGAATTCACAATCCGGTCAAATATCTTTATTCCATTGGTGTTTCCGAGCATTCCTATCTAATTAATTCAAGCTATCTCAGTTGATCGGTTCACAATACATGCTGATATATAAATATTGTATATATTTTGTATTTAAATGAAAAGTATTATTATCAAAAAAAAGAAACTTTCTAGTAAAGTAAACAACCCTTATAAGATTATTATGTTACCTGTTGAGTTGACCTAATTTTGAAAAATCTTCAAATTACTTCAGGGAAAGAAGTATATGTTTTTTTACATAAAAGTGTTTTAAGCTCAAAACGATCAAATCAAACTTTGTTTTTAATTTGAAGTACTTATGATTAGATACGATTATATAACACAAAACTTTCAATTGGCTTAAACTTTAAATGTTAACTTAAACAAATATAATCATTTTTCTGCAATGAAAACATATTCAAGAAAAGGAATTTGCTTACTAATCGCTCGGAGGAATACTAGGAGTAATGTGCATTCATTTAAGTCCTAATCACTTGTGAGAGATAGTTCTTGTTGTATGTCATAGCCACAAGGCCTACAAAACAAAATGAACTTAGAATTTGGTATTTGGTATTTGTGCCGCTCAAAGTAATGATCCTAATACGTACATTAATGCATAGACGCATTAGAAGCCACCGAAATGCATTAGCAGTTATAAATGTGGCTGCCACACGAGCTCCAGCCAGACTGCCCGACTGCCCGCCGGCTAGCCCGCCTCCGTGCTCAAGAAAGCCGTTTCGAATGGAATCAATTTGATTTTCCAATCAATTAAACTTTATATAAATTGCGTCTGCGCTGCTAAATATAACAACAAGCAGAGCAGCAACGACTGCAAAACACAGCAAGAAATGTTTGGCATAGGCAACAACAAAAGCGTTTTGCGCGGGCACGTCCCTTAGAGTTATCCAGACTATCGTATTCCCTCACAGCCCTCGCCAATGTCTCTATAAACGGCTGACTGCACAAGCACAAAAATGTAGCCTCTGTTGCGCCACCACGGATTGTGCATATTGCACGACTTTGACTGCATTCTCGCATTTGGCAAATGTTTTGTGAGATTTTGAAATGCAGACGACATCGCCTCTGCTCTTGTTTCTGATGATGTTGCTGTTGATGTTGCTGTTGGTGTTGGTGTTCCCGCTGCCACTGCTGGAGTTGACTTGCGATGTGCAGTGGCAGACACATCATTGTAAATGCATTTGACGCATTTGCGCCTGCGAGTGGCTCAGGACATTAGCGCAAAGGCAACACTACACTGTGCGAGTATGTGAACAAAGCTAATTGTAAATATTCAGGGCCTGTTTTAGTGTTGAAACTAAAGGATCAATACTATATATCCTTTGATGTTTAAAGAGAATACTTTTTATTCGGAATTTAAAATATTATTTGGTGGCGTTTCACATACTATACACATCTAAATAAACGAAATAGAAGAATATATTCGGAAGCAGGCTCGTGTCAAAAATTTTAAGTTACTAATCAGAAACTTTCAAACGAACAAACTTGCATATATTTGAATTTTTGCAATTTTATTATTATTGTTGTGCTACCTTCGGGCGGCTTTTTCTAGTTCTAAATGAAAAAAAAAAAACTAATATGACCTTGAATTTGAATGAATGAGTGAATTTATTGTACGAGTATATGCAATATCACAAATATATATATTCTATGTGAGGACCCTCTTAGGCAGATCCTGTGGATGACTGCATTATTTATATAAATATTATGAGCTAGGTAAATGAATGCGAAGAAATTATCACCACCAGATTCGTCACAATAAGAAAAACAATTCTATATGTTTATAAATGTTGGCAGTAAATGTTAAATTTAGCCAAATATACCATATACCACCATATACCCATACAATTTATCGTTACTTAGCTACGGCCTTTCCCATCTGAAGCCCGGGACAAGGGAGCGTCAATGATCAATGTGGGTCAAATTACTGGCAACTTAATTTTAAAAACAATGCCCACTGCTTATATTCCAGCCATTACTTTGCCTGCTCTGTCTATACTATGCTAGCAACATTGAGCTTAACTTGTTTAAAATATTTAGCCTGGAGGAATGTTTTATAATTAATTTTCACTTCCACATTTTGATGTAATTTTGACACTCTTTATGGGAGCTTTGAACTTGGAACACAAACAAACAAATATTCAGTTGTGGGTCAGGCACTGTCGTTTCATTTATTTTCCAGATTTCATATTTTTTAACATGTATTCCTCTATCATGGAGTTGTGAAAACGATGTGAGAAAACGAGCAACACCTATAACTAAAGTTTTAGCCTTCTCTTAGCTGGTTAAATCATATTAATTACATAAACTTTTTGTACGCTTTTGTTAAAATCTTAACCCGCCTCTATGCTTCTCATACAATGGATTCACGTTATTTAATTATATAATGTATTAATAATTAATGTATTATTTCTCAAACGGTTCACCTACAGCTGGAGCAGGTTAAGGAATAAATATTTAATTTAATCACCAATGAAATTTATTTATGAAATTTATGGAATTTGGTAACTAATTTGATATCCATCGATGAGGAACCGAAACGGGGTGAATACTATTTTGAGGAATAGCACTCCTTTTCTTATTTCTGACGGTAGTAGAGTACATACATCATATGGTCTGGTACGTATGTGATTTTTCTGATGTTCTTGGTTCAGTTGGTCTTATGTACGAAACTTACTTCAACAATAGGTGTAGGTGGTAATCAAATGAACATGGTTTCCATGCTTCGCACGGGTATTTTTACAAAAATTTTACAAATTATTCTTTTTATAACACACACACACACTTAACACACATAAACCCTTCTTTTTGCTATAAGTTACTAAGGAGTAAAATTTATTTTGGATATTATTATTCTAATCATTTTTTGTTTTTAGGTTTTTTTTGTAATTTTTTATTAGGTCAGAGGTTCTCTGTAAAAGATATTTAATGTTTTATTTTGTGGTAGCAAAATAAATTGATTTTCAGGAGCTCCGACCCGTGATGGGTCAACATACCGCAAAACATTGCTTTCGTATGCCAATCCCTACTAATTCGTTGCTGGGCCGTTGATAATAGTTGTTGAATTAAATTGTCCTACATTTCCTTTTAAGCAATTCCGAATTTTACCATCAATTCATGTGGCGGCAGTCCAGAAGGGCTTAGTGAATTTAAGTATCTTGATCGATCGATTTGTAATCTTTTATTTGGCTGGGGGCTTTTGAATAATATTGCCTTAATATTTAAAGTGGCAATGTTTCGGGGATGATTATGAACTAACAGCATGCTATTCAGGAGTTTTTTAAGGTAATTTTTTTACACCTTTGGTTACATTATCGGAGTTTTAATAAGGATTCCATTCTTTTTTGCAAATATAATATAGCCCATGTTCACCGGCGATAGTGTCGCTTCTCAACAGTGAAACAATCCATTAAATCGGTCCACTAAATTCGGAGCCTTTTCAATTCTAAAAAATAAATTAATATTAGTATAGATAAAATATAAACTTAGCAAAGAGCACAGAGCATAGCGGCCAGCAGCTATATAGATTTCGCATAAACTGGTCACACAGCGCACAATCAAAATAATTGCCACAAAATTTAGTTGATATGCGAACTGATAAACAAAATTGTGCGGCGGAATATACATATGTATGTTGTATGTACATACATGTAGGTACGAATGTATTTTGTGGCGATAATTTTGGTGGAAAGTGAGCTTAAGTGGCAATTGTGCAGTGAGCTTTGTCAGATACATCCATTCAATGAGCCAAACGTCATCGAAAATACCTGTTTGTTGTTTACTCTTGAATTTCTCCCAAACACGCCTAAGGCAGGCAGCCAAAGAGCATAATGCTCAGCGGCTTACCTCCAGCTATTGAGTCGCTAAAGCTCACACCCACGAGAAATTAGCTGCAGTCCGGCCCCAAAGCTTATAATATGCATAAGCATGTATGTATGTACATATGTACGGTTTGTTGAAAAACTTTTACCGCAGCAATTCAGTTGAATATAATTGGAAGCGTAAGTGTCAGAGTGCTGTAAGATAGAGACTGAATGGCTCTGTTCCGTTCGTTGGAGCACTCATGACTGCATTGGCAGAAAGTCAGCGAAGTAGCATACGCATATGGCTATGGGTACATTGTCAAGTCGGGCACGCAGCCAAAGCTATATAAACGCACATCACGATTAAGAATTGAATCAGTTGAGCTTTTCGCCTTGACCATGTGCCATCGTATCTTTGTTCTGTTTGTGCTGCTACTCGCAGCCCTCTTAAGCGGTAAGTCATTGAACTGATGGCTTATATATTTACATTTACATACATCTATATATATATGCACGTATACTTTTGTATATCTGGGAAATTTTGCTTACAGTATGCTGCGCCCTACCGCTTTCATGGGGGCCCTCAGCCAATCGTGGCCCCATTGGGGGACCAGCCTGGAATGGAGGTGATGCTGAAACGACTGATAATATTATTTTGCACTCTAAGGGCGGAAAATGGCATTACTAATTGATTTGTTAAGTATGTGTGTGTCACGAGTTGAACAAATAAAATTATATTTAACCGACACCATTAAATTTATTGATTGTTTTTCTCTCTAAAAAGCTTCTTCAACTAACCAGTTTATTTTGCCAAAGCCAAAGCTTTTTATACTCTGTGCAAGAAGGTGCAAGAGTATATTGAAAGTGAAAAATGTAACAGGGAGAAGGAGGCGTGGCAGACCCCACAAAGTATATATACATATGTATATTCTTGATCAGCGTGACAAGACGAGTCGGTCTAGCCCTGTCTGTCTGTCCGTCAGTATGAACAGCTGAATCTCAGGGACTATGAGAGATAGAGACATCAAAGTTTTTGTACGCAGTTCGAGTTTGTTTTATTTTTTGATGCACCCCCTCAGGTTTTGTTGTTATTACTGCTTTAGCTTAACTCTTTACTGCGCCTATGTTCACACACAGACCAGATAGACATGGGTACAGAGTACTTCAAAGTCGGGGCATTCGACTAAAGCTTTTCCACTTGTTATTGCATAAATGTTATTCCATAAGTGCCTAAATATGTACGTCCATATTCACAGTAGATGTTGAATATGGTCAATTAGTTGGTCCAATATAACTTAAAGTGCACTTATCTAATAATAAAAAAAAAACAATTCCAAAACAATTTGAAGCCAAAAAACTATAACAAAAATTATTTTTAAAATATCTGTACCAACTCAAATACAATAATTCAATTATCTTAGTTCAATTTGAAAGCCAATACAGTGTTTGGGAACTATAATGAATAAATTGAATTGAATTGTATATTGAATTTTGATATTTCTTACCTGATTCGTAATTCAAAGCATGCATAATAAAGCAAATTAATATAGTAAATAACTATGCAGATATGTGCAATTTAATTTTTAATTATCTTGGGTTTTTAGAAATTTTTTTTTTAAGAAACTATCTGTTTCCTATATGCTAGTTCAATTTTGTGCTTCACCAACACATCCTAGCTGCTGTAACCCTAGGTATTGGAACTTCGGTTACACCAACTTAAATTATAAACAAGAAACGATTTCTAGCGAAAAATTTTTCACAAAAATAAACAAATTTTAAAAAATGTTTCATTAATTTTTTAAAAATTGTACAAAAATACATAACTGATTATGAACAGTTTTAAGAACATTTTTTACATCATAATCGTGTCTACAGAGTACAGTATTAATTGAAAGTAGCAACAACAAAAAAAGCTGCGTTCAGATATTACATGTATGGCTATAACTTTCTTCAGATTTAACCAATCGTTATGAAACTTAACATACGGACACATAATCACTAACTGGATGTAAACACCAAATACGGAAGTAATGGAAATTCACTAATAGCGTGGAAACGGAACAAACTTGTCCTTTCTCAGGCTTCAGAGAATCTGGATGCCAAGTTTGGTTATTCTAGCTCTTATGCTTTCCGATATCCTTGCGTTCATGTTGACAGACGGACACGGCTATATCGACTCGGCTTGTCGCCCTGATCAATAATAACTATATCTTAGGGGTCTTCCACGCCTCCCTTTCACTCTTTGGATACGGGGTTATTTGTTAATTTTTAATGTCAGTTTCCAGAACCTCGTCCTCTAAGTTTGTCGGATTTCAGGTTGCAGCGTATTTCACTATTCTTTTATTAGAAGAATGTTTTTTATAATTTATTCATTTATTGCTCCCAGACTTATTAGTTGAATTGAGTTATTCTAAAGTTAAATGGTATTTCAATCTATCAATCTAAGGAAAGAGCCAATTAACATTGGCTTTTTTATTACGCCATCTTTAAGAAAATTTACGAGCGTATACTTATTATTTTGTCCCTATGAGTACGTGATACTAGAAAACCATCGCTGATAACGCAGATCGCGATGCAAACAACGCGTGTGTAGGAGCTTCTTTTATTATTATAAGTTTTGCCATCTCTATCGTTCGAGGGAAACATTGTTTATCCAATGGGAAGTAAGTACAGTAAACACATTATAAACTAATTCTTATTCATATTGTGAATGAGAGAAATACCTCGTCATTTTGGACGGCTTTAGTAATTTTTTAAAGAATATTTTAACTGAATTGTCGCTAAATCGTAAGTCTGGTCTGTACATACGTGCAGTACAGACATAAATATGTCTTGACTTAATTAGCTCTGCCTCTATTTCTGTTACCATAGCCATTTCATTGTTATCAAGTACAAGCTGCTGATAAGCGTTTTTGTGTGTGGTTTTGGCATTTTCCCCAGAATGGCGATAGCCTTTCAACTTTCTTATAATATACATTTTATTTTTATAGAAGTTTTTGCATTGCTTAACCCCAGAGTCAATTAACACTATGCATGAGTTTTCTGAACGGCTGTTCCCGCTGCCATCCGACACCCTACAAACTGCAAAGCTTTTTACCTACGCCAAGTATTCGGCACGTTCGAGTTGAAGACCGAGTCCGAGTCGTGAGTCAGTCGTCAGGCAGTCTAAGCTCTACGCCCAGCCGTACTACAATCGCCGCCGCTGCTACGACCACAGAGCGTACTCAGTTAAGACGCATTTAAACGGCACTGGTATTTCCCGGCACATTATCTGCCTATATGCACATCTACCCGCCCGCAAATTCAACCAGAAGATAGCAATATATAAGGTGGCCCCACAATTCTGTAAACGTATAGTTCGAAATCGAACTGCAAGCACACAACAATATGGGAAAAATATTTGCAATTATTACACTGCTCGCCGGCGTCCTATGCTTTACTAGAGGTAAATAAATTGACATTGAACAATTTACAGATATCGAAATGAAATGAAATTCTTATTGTAGCATTGGAGGGCCAAGCTGGGGCTGTCCCGAACACAGTTGTGCAAACTGGAGCTGACGGCACAATTATCCAAAATGGCAAAGGTGGCACCTATCTTCAAGGCCCTGGGGGCACTATTTTACACAATAGCGCTGGAGGAACTATATTGCAGAATGGAGCCGGCAGCATTTATACCCGTCCCGATGGACGACGCGTTCTGGTGGGTTCCAATGGCCAAACTCTTGTGACCAGACCAGACAGCGATGAGGACTCATCTGACAGTGGCGAATATGACAAATGGATTAGCGACAGTGGCGACAACCAGAATGTAATCATCAATGGTCAAAGCTATGGATCTGGCTCAGGGGGCAATGTCCTTATCGGGGGTCAAAATGGTGTATTCATAAATGGCGGCCAAACAGTGCGTGTGGTGAATGGTGGTCTGCAGTTGACCGAAGGTGGACGCGATTACGTCTTTAAGCCACGTGCGCCCGGCGTCACAGAGCAGGAACAGGTGGAAATCAATGGACACCCTGCTACAGTGTTCTATGAACAGGGCGGTGTACGTGTGGAACGACAGGATGGTACTGTTCTGGCCTACGGCATTAATGGCGAGGGTCTGTTTATGGGCGACAAACAGGCTTACGCCAAACGCAAGGAAATCTTAGCCGACATACCGCGCCAGACCGCTCAGATAGGGGAGGAGGTGCGCCGCTCGATGGAAAAGCTTCAAGCCGAATTGCAGCAGTCCTTGGGCAATATACGTCTAGGACCATGGTTCTAAGAACCCAACGATATCTATGTAAGCATGTGCATAGTACAGAATCGAATAAAGCACATGCCAATACAATTATAGAAGTTTTGTTTAAAGAAAGAGTGCGGCGACTTAAATCTACTTAGTTACATACATATGTATGTATCTATATATATATAAATAAACACGGCTTATTCGTCATCAATAGATGGTGTCCGAACTTTAAATTCCTACCTATCATGACTACCGATGGTGCTAGGGAATGCTGATAACGCGCAATTCGTTCTAATGGCTTCACTCAGACAATTGAACTTGTTGTGATCGTGTGAATAAAATAAAAGTGGGCTCTCTAATACGCAAATTTCATTCACTTCAGCTCGCTTACTGAATTTGATGAATTCTTCCGACTTGCCATATAAGTAAGCATACTCGTATAGTATATGGTATGCAAAGTATACATATACTATACATATGTGGATTGGATTTGCCCCGCGCTTGTTTGTTTACTGACGGGAAATTCCAATGAAACAGAAAACTTCGATGGGCAAATAAGATGGGGCAAAATTATTAGGTTATACTTGTAGGAATCGAATTAAGCACTTTTCATATTAAGATCATATGATTTTATTTGCATACTTACATTTTTCTATATGCCCAGAAAAGTTATAGGAATCGAATTAAGCAGTTTTCATATTAAGATCATATGATTTTATTTGCATACTTACATTTTTCTATATGTCCAGAAAAGTTATAGGAATCGAAGTAAGCACTTTTCATATTAAGATCATATGATTTTATTTGCATACTTACATTTTTATATATACCCAGAAAAGTTATAGGAATCGAAGTAAGCACTTTTCATATTAAGATCATATGATTTTATTTGCATACTTACATTTTTCTATATACCCAGAAAAGACAATAAAAAATACTTATATATAATTTTTTTTAGTAGGCACTATGAGGTTAAAAAACAACAACTTCGTGTCATTTGTGTTAGACCTCTTGTGTTGTGGTTTTGAGTTAATTATTTCTTGTTTTTTTTTTAATTTTGAAATTGATTTTCAACGAAGAATAGACAATCGAAATCATAACACAAAAAACAGTTTCACCAATGCATATACTTTGGAACCAGGATTACGTATGAAATCAACCTTTCCACTAAAAATAGTGCAACCAAAAAGCTGTAGGTAAAACAAAAAAAGCAAATATGTTTGACACCGACTTTTTATACCCTGTACCCGTAGGGTAAAAAGGGTAAATTAGGTTTGTGCAAAGTATGTAACATACAGAAGGAAGCATCTCCGACCCCATAAAGTATATATATTCTTGATCAGCATGACGAGAGAAATCGATCTAGACATGTCCATCCGTCTGTCCGTCCGTCTGTCCGTCCGCCTGGATGAACGCGAGGATCTCAGAAACTATAAAAGCTAGAATAACCAAAGTTGGCATCCAGATTCTCCTAGATCCGAGTGAGGACGAGTTTATTCTTTTTTTTTAATTTTCCCCCCCTTCCCCCGCTGCAGAATTTCGTCAATAGCGTCCACATTTCAAATGCTACTTAAACCAAACTTTGCACACATGATTAATATATATTTGTCTACTGTTGTTCAAAATTTTATTCAATTCGGTCAAATCTAAGAAAATTTATTAGCGAAACAAATTCTCTCCAGTACAACCCCCACAAACTGCAGTAACAAGTTCGCTCTTCTTCCTCTTCTTGCTTCTGCTATGGGCGCATATAACTCAGTGACGGAAGTTACCTGGGTACAGGGTATTACACTGTCGGGCTTGCTCGACTGTAGCGTTCTCTCTTGTTTCACTTTAAAAGCTTACGATTGTCACGCTCTCAACCAGGAAATCCCCATACAATTATTCTGATGTTTCGTTGGAAAAAGAATGTTTTATGGTTAACCAAGATCCGACCGAGTCCGCCGAAGTCCCTCTGAAAAGACTTACGAAAAGGGGTACCAATTATGCAAGTGATACTAAGTATATAGCATTCTATTTTAATTTTCAGCAAGAAGAGTGTGTTGTCTACAAGTAATTGTTACTACACTGGTCGGCACAATTATTTTGACGAGAAGAAAATCATACATTTTTGTCAATAACTGGTTATTGGTTTAAGATATCAAAGGAAACTTTTTTTCTCAATTCCATATTGGTATTACAAACTTAAAAATAATTCAAAGGATATATTTTTATAAGAACTTTTAAAATTATAAATCAAGGTAATTTTCATGGGTTGGCATAAGTATTTTGACAATGGATATTAACAAAAAAAACAAAGCTTAATACTAAACAAAACATAAGAAATTGATGGTAGATTAATAAAATGTATACCCGCCTTTGGCTTCGATAACTTTTTGAAGACGTCTTGGAACTGAGTCCACTAAATTTTGAAGGACCTCTAATGGTATCTCTTTCCAAAGAGAAGTGACCTCGGAAATAGTTTCTTCTTCGGTTTTATGCAAAGACGCATTTCTTTTACGTTTTACAAGAGACCACACATTCTCAATAACGTTTAAGTCCGGACTTTGTGGTGGCCAATCCAGAGTAGTAACACCAACATCGCTTAAAAATGCTCTTATCATTTTGCTTTTGTGGCATGGGGCGTTATCCTGTTGCAGGATAAATGATTCTCCAATCAGCCTGTCACCGGAAGGGAATGCGTTTTCGTTAAGGGTACTCAAATATTGTTGCTGGTTCATTGAGCCGGTGATGGGAACGAAATCACCTAACCCATTGTACGCAATGCATCCCCAGAACATGACTGAGCCTCCGCCATGGCTCACTTTTTGACATACGGGGATATTTTTTTGTCTTTGAAACTGTGGGAGCCTTACAAAAATCTTTGTTTTTGATGAATTATATTCAAAGGAGCTTTCATCTGTCCATAGAACGCTTCTCCAAAACTCTTTTGGCTTATGCAGATGCTCCTTTGCAAAAGCCAATCTTTTGAGCTTGTTCACCTTTGATATGTAAGGTATGTCCTTCGCTTTGTATGTCTTAAAATCTTCTTCTTTTAGGCGTCGCCGAACAGTACGCTCACTGATTGGAGTCTTGGTCGACTTATTCCATTGATCTGCAGCAGCTTGCGGCTTTAAATGAATATTTTTTTTAAATTCCCGCAATAGGACTCGATCTTCAATGGGTGTTGTTTTGCGGTTAGCACCTGATCTAGGCAAGTTTTTGACGTCATTGTGGGTCTTATATTTGTTAATTTGATAGTGGACTGTTTGCCGCGACAAATTATATTCATTTGCAATGTCTTTTGGTGCTACGCCGGCATTAAACTTCGCCACTATTGAGGCTCTAACAACATAACTTAATTCTGTCTTTTTTACCATTGTATCGATTACTTTTGAATCAAATTTTAATGAAAATAATGTAAAAAGGTCAACAAAAATTGTTACACCAAAGTTATTTTAGTATCACTTGATAAAACGTACGCGAAAACGGCGACAAGGTTTGGTCAAAATACTTATGCCGTGCCTGAATCCGCAGTCAACTCACATTGTCATTTGTAGAAAAAAGGTGTGAAGAGTAATAGACAAAATATTTTGCCTACATATTGTTGTTGCTATGAACTCAATATCCCGTATGAAAATTGTACCGTTATTCCTTGAAACTAAAAGCAACCAGCACCGATAGTCGTGAGTACAGTTCGTCAAAATAATTGTGCCGACCAGTGTAATTACAGCTTAGAAACTGCACTTTGACGATATAAGTTATAATGATTAATGGTAAGGCCTTGGGTAACAATTGTATACAAAAATAGTCTAAATCAATTAAGTTATTTGCAAATGAAAGAAAATGTTTAGTTATAATGATTAATGGTAAGGCCTTGGGTAAAAATTGTATACAAAAATAGACTATATCAATTAAGTTATTTGCAAATGAAAGAAAATGCTTAATAGAGGTCACAAAACTTAACATTTTCATTAAATGATGTACGATGAGTTTCAATAATAATTTCTGCATATGATCAATAAAAATAACTTCAACAAATCCAACTCAATTCCATTTTAAGGCGAAATTGTGCGTCATAATAATTAATAATTATATTGCAAAAATTTTTTATAGGGGCCATGGCCCCCGGCCCCCATGCGTACGCCCTTGAATATCTCTATTACAAATTTTACTTTTATTCTTACAAATATATTTAAAAAGCAAGCCAATCATGCTTTTTCTTCAGGAAGCCGATAAAAAATGCATTTAGATGTACATTAAAACAGGATTAAAACCAGTAAATTATGTATACTTATTAACAAACACTCTGCAGAAACCTTACGATTTTTGTTCGACTTATGCAACTGGCCAACATAAAAATTGCCATACATACTATTTCATTTTTTTTTTTTTTTGTTGATGCGACTTATACTTGAATTATATTGTGTGTAGTGCCTACATAAAAATACAAAAATGTTGTTTTATTAAAAATTTTGCTACAGTCCTAGCGTTTTTATGTATTAACTCTAAATTTGACTGGTGTCAAGAGTATACCGTTAAATTGACAAACGAACACCAATTGGGTTGACATTTTTATGGTTTTAGTATTTTTTATGTGTTAACTAAATCATCCTAAATAATGACAAATTCCTATAAACGGGTAACACTTATCACATTTGTATATATTTCCATCGGACCAATAAGAAGAAGAATACGAGCCCGAAAGAATTCCTCCCTTAACGGCTAGGCAGAGAATTCCACTGAAGGTGATGAGCGAAGAGTCGCCAGCCTTTGTTCTCACCTCTTCCCAGCTCTCAAGATGGCGGGATCAGTTCTATGAATCGCCCATCAACCGTTTGGCCCAAAATGTGTGCACCACCAGCGATCCGTACAACGCTTGCGTGCAACACGTCGCACAGGAGATTGCGGGATTTCATGAGATACTGCGAGTGCCCACTGTGGGAAAGGCGACCACGATGGGCGCCAGCTGGATATGCGCCGGCTTGGATCTGCTGCGTCTGCCTTTTGTTGCCAAACATCGAATGCCGGACTTTGAGTTCTCAACAGCGTATCTGCTCTACTGGCACAAAATGGAGCGCTGCAATTATTTTTTGCACTCGGTGGTTGAGCTTTTGGATCGTTGCGAGCCCATAGACGGACGCACCTTCTCCTACCTGATGAAGCATGCCATACCTGATGCAGGCAACTGGCAAATGTTTGTCAATCTGGTCCGCAAACATGGTCTGATGCCCAAAAAGTGTTACTTGGTTAGTGTTTCGGCCACACGCACGCTGCAGCTCAACAAAATTCTAAGATCCAAGGTGCCGTTTGTGGTCCTCATTAGTGCGACTTGTGTAACTAAATGTCCTTTCCATTCTGCAGCTGCACGAGTACAGCAGCCAGCTGCATGCTCAGTACACCTTCGATGGCGACACTTCACAATTACCCGCCAAGATTGAAACGATGCGGGAGGAGCTGTACAAAGTGATTAGCATCTGCCTGGGGACGCCACCAGTGGAATTTAACTGGACATATTACGATCTAAACAAGCGCTATCAAAATCTGGAAAATCTCACTGCCTTGGATTTTTATGAGCTACTAGTCAAGCCTTGTTGTGATTTGGAATCTCACGTTTGCCTCGGTCATGATCCACGTGTTGAGCACACCTATCAACACAATTATCATGTAGCCTATAGCTCCAATATGGTTGGGGGCCTGCGCCAAAGCTACAATAATCAGCCCATGGATGTGCTGCTACAGAGTGTGGTGGATTCCCTGCGTGCCGGGTCTGCCGTTTGGATAGCATGTGATCTCCAGCCTCGTTTCTACACGCAGTCCCATCTACTCAGCCTCACATCGCATAACTTTGAGTTACTTTTTGGCACTCCATTGGGTCTCGGCCTCAGTAGAGCGGAACGCCTCCTCTACCATGACTCGCGACCTAACACAGCGTTGTTGCTAACCGCAGTCACATTGGATGAGCAGCTGAAGCCACTGATATTTCGGACCGTTGGAACAGCATTATCTAGCGACAGCAAAGAGAATTCGGCGACTGCCTTGATGGATGATAGGGTTGAGGGGACGCTTGAAACGGACGAGGTAGGCCGTGGTGCATCTGGAAGCAAAGCCATCTCGCTCTCCGCCAACTGGTTCCGTGAATACGGCTTTGAAATTGTGGTGGACTCGCGCTTTGTGCCTTCGAGCGTGCTGAATGTCTTGCAAGCACAGAACAGCACTGAACTGCCTATTTGGGACGCCATGGGACGACTGCTCGCCTAATGTCCTGTCAACAAGAACGTGCGACCTTCGCCAAGTGCGTCTGCAAACGAAAATTACGTGACCTGCATGCATATTTTAGGAGATTAGCGCAATGCCCATTTGTAACTTGTCGAATTAACATTAAATAAAACAAAACAGTTGTTTAAAGCAGAGTACATTTTATTCGATGTTAGCGCGCTACCATTTCTTGTAACCATAGCCACCACGACGACCACCGTGGCCTTGGCAACATGGCGAACGAGGAACACCATAGACCGGACGGTTGTACTTGTGCTTCTGCTTCTTCAGCAGATGGCGTGGCTCACGCACTTCAGCATCTCCAGACGGCGGGGCTGCGCCGCCATTGGTGGCTCCATTGTCATTAGAATGCTGGCCAACAGTTGACAGACCAACAGCTGCGCGGTCGAGATCAGGAAATGCCAAAACCAAAACAAATGTCAGGCTGGCTAGCATAATGAAGGCAACGAATTTCATGGCGCGATATGCAATGACGAAGTGAATAGTGCGAACTAAACTACATATAGCTTCAAGAAGCCTTTATATAGCCTGGCACAGGTACATACATGTATATTACGAACCACGTATACCTGATCCGAGGCTCTCATAACAGCTGCTAGGGATTAGTGGTCAGGTATGAAACTGTCAGTCATTTATGGCCACTGCGAAAACTTTAATGCGCATTTCCCACTTTTCTTCGTATTTTTAAATCGCTACATGTTATAGCCTTCTCGTGAAGTGAGAGGGTATAGTACGCGAATCGGTTAAGAATGGAAGGCAACTACAAGTTATTGCTCCACGTTCCCGTCCAACTTACTTCCAGAAAGAATTTTCAGAAATATTTTTAGTAGCTTATAGTAGTAGGTAGTGGTTTAGTAGAAGATTCGAAATAATTCATCCTTAACACTGTTTATTGTAACGCTCAGTTTAATCTTAATTCCATGATTCCAATCCACTTTCTTAGCAATTCGTAGACGAATAATAATCGAAGAATAATTTATGCCTCGTTTTGCGACAGTCAGCAATTCGTAGTGCTCTCAATTTCTTAATAATATTAAATTATATAATATTAAAAAAATCTCGTTTGAACTAGAAATGGAAAAACTTGAAAGCAAGTAGAAGATTCGAAATAATTCATCCTTAACACTGTTTATTGTAACGCTCAGTTTAATCTTTAGCCATATTTCCAATCCACTTTCTTAGCAATTCGTAAACGAATTATAATCGAAGAATAATTTATGCCTCGTTTTGCGACAGTCAGCAATTCGTAGTGCTCTCAATTTCTTAATAATATTAAATTATATAATATTAAAAAAATCTCTTTTGGACTAGAAATGGAAAAACTTGAAGGCAGAACCCGTTGAACACGAACGTTATGGGGAAAATACTGAGGACAAGGATGAAAATGTAGCTTAGATCTGATCAGTTTTTCATATATAAAGAATAACATTTAGTTTAAAGCCCACAAAGAAATGTTTACGAAATAAAAATTGGTTTCTTCATGAAAGTTTGATTTAAAAAAACTCAGAATGGCTTGCTTTAAGGCTAAGTTGTGGATTAAAAAAAACGTTTTCAATGCTCTTAATCGTGTATTTTTTTTATGTGGTTCCTCAACTTGCACAAACGCCCAACAAATGATTAAATGTATATAGGTATATCCAACGATTTTTATCTGCCCATTTGAAACTGCTTACAGGAATGATAGCATCGGAGGGTGTGGCATTTCAGGCGGTGGTGGCGGCGGCATTCCTGGTGGGGCCGGCATATCACGACGTTGCTAATAATGAATCAAAAATAAATTAAAATTTTATAAAAATAATGTAATACTATATTTAAAACAAACTGCCAGCTGGTTCCTTTTAACTTACTCGGAGTTTTGGTGGTGGTGGCGGTGCCTCGTTTGCTACTTTTGGTGCATCCTCTGGTGGTTCATTGCTCATTTCCATAACATGACGACGGGACTGAAATATTGTAATATTGTTCAAAGGTACATTTAAAAAATAACTCGATATTTATGGCCTACAATTCGAGGTAGGAGGTATCCTTTAACTTACTCTGAATTTTGGTGGTGGTGGCGGTGCCTCGTTTGCTACTTTTGGTGCGTCCTCAGGTGGTGCATTGCTCATTCGGTTAGCATGACGACGGGACTGAAAAATTATTACATTGCTTCAGAATTATGTCCAAGGTAAAATTTAAAAAAAAGTAAAGATATTTTAAGCCTGCAATTTGTGTTAACAGGTTTCCTTTAAATTACTCTGAATTTTGGTGGTGGTGGCGGTGCCTCGTTTGCTACTTTTGGTGCGTCCTCAGGATGTTCATTGCTCATGTCCGTAACATGACGACGGGACTGATTCAAAAGTAAATTTTTAGAAACAGTTCTGAGTCGCCGGCAGAAGCTAACTTACTCTAAAATGCGCTGGTGGTGGTGGTGGCTCATTTGATAGCTGCGACAGTTCCTTTGGCGGCTCATTACGCATTGGGGTGGCATGGCGAGGCGCCTAGAAGTAGGCATATGCAAAATCGTTTAACCAACAGCGCGTAATTGGCCAGCCGCCTCCTCGTTTGTGCATCAATTACGCGCTGTTGATAGACTAGCGCCGGCGCCGGCGAAGGTGCCTGGCGGCTTGGCTTAAAGAGCATCCACCTCAAATTTAAATGTTTAAATTAACTTAACAACTTACTCTATGCAACGAATGGTGCGGCGCCTGCGAGTACAAATTTCAATTAAACATCTTATTCAAGACAGAAAAATTCAACACTCACCTCGAGGCCCTTTGTGGTTCCACCACCACGTCCATCAACACCGAAAAGCGTCAAAGCCACAACGTAAATAACCAAAACAGCGCAAAATAGCCTCATTCTCTAGCTGTCACGTTCCGGCCCAGCAAGAAATTTGCACGAGTGCTCGAGGTTTTTTTATGGCTGCTCTCGATGAGCAACTTGTACATTTATAGCCGTCGAATGTGCCTGCACTTAATTGGCCTGCTATCCAAAATCTTGCAAAGTGCAATGTTTATTTCAATAATTGCAGATGATACTGGTATAAAGCAGGGAAGTACATATTAATTATTAGTTAAATACGAACTCTTAACTAATAATTGCATAATTTTTGATCAAATCTGATACCAACATGACATTTAGAATCATCGAGCGTGGAGTGTGTGGGAAAGTGTCGCATTAGCAACCCTCATAGTGGCGATTTATAAATCAGCTGCTAACTTCCCCATTGAGTGCACGTAGACACCCAGCTCCTCCTCTGTTTAATTAATTACATCCAACTTATAGCATTTACATTTCAAAGTGTTTAACGAAAAAAAAAATTAAAAGATAATTAAGTAATATACGATCCAAATGTAATCTGATCATTGGTGTTCCCATAATATAATTATACCCAAAGGGTGAAAGGCTATACTAGTTTTGTGCGCATGTATGTAACACACAGAAGGAGGCGTGGCAGACCCCACAAAGTATATATATTCTTGATCAGGATGAGAAGACGAGTCGATATAGCCATGTCCGTCTGTCCGTCTGACCGTCTGTCCGTCTGTCCATCTGTCTGTATGAGCGCAAGGATCTCAGTAAGTACAAGAGCTAGGATAACCAAAATTGGTATCAAGCTTCCTATAAGCCCTAGGCAGAACGAGTTTGTTTATTTTTTCTGATACACCCCCCCACTCCCCCGCAATTCGTATTTTTTCTTATAACTTCCGTAATTCTCGGAATTTTGAATTTACATCCAGGTACATCCAGTTAGTACTAATGTGTCCGTGTGCCAAATTTCATCATGATAGGTCAATTCTGAAGAAAGTTATAGCCATAAGTAAAATCGCTGCTCATGCGCTGCCTCTGTCGGCAGCGCTGCCCGCAGCTGTTGTTGTTGTTGCTGCTTTTGTTCAACTTTGTGCTGCATACGTGATGTAAATGTATGCTGTTTAAACTGAACATAAACATGTATTCTAATTTAATTTAATTAATTATTTTAATTAATTAATTCATTCATTTTTTTTAATAATTTAATTTTTAATTTTTTTTTTTTTAATTTTTCTTTTTTGTGGAGAGTACAGGCTATTTTACTGTCGGGCTTGCTCGACTGTAGCGTTCTATCTTGTTTTTATTATGAAATCGGGTTTTTCCCAGATATTTGCTTTTTAACATTTTGTATACATTTTACATTTATACATTTCCAAAGAGTAATTCATCTGATATTTATTTAGACTCTTCTTATGATTAGCTTAACTTGCCCGGTTAAAATCAACTATTTTTGGCATTTGAGTCGTAGCAGGCCCCATATATAAATAGAGCGCGTTCAGATAATTTGTTGAAAAAAAAAGCAAACCACTATACCCTCTAGATTGTAGAATTTGAATTAGTTGCTTTTAAGCTAAATAAGTATTATAAACTGTTAAAACATCTACGTAACATAATTTGTCACACAACCCTGGTAGCTGTCAAAGTGACTAGTCGACTTTTTATTGTGCGCTCCGTGAAAAATTGTAATAAATTCCTCTTTTTCAATTATTTCGCGTATAGTGCGTTAAAAAAAACCACCCGGAAACCTAGTTTCACCTTGGCTTTTTGGCAATCGTTTAGTATCCTTATTTTCTTGGATTCCAATCAACAATTAATCTGCTGTATGGGGCTGCTCTGCTGACGTATACACGTCATCGGAGCAGAGACAGCCCAGAATTTTTCTTCTTTGCTTGTTTTGCAAGTCATCTTATCTCACGTAAATGAATGCTGATGAAGACTCGGCCGCTCTCGGAGCAGCTGAGGAAGTAGTCAATAAGCTGCCGAAGTACGTGGAGATGAGAAAAATTTCTGGTAAATCACCTTCGGAGCTGAGAGCAAAAATAACCAAGGACTTGCATATGTCAATGGGAAAACCATACTTAAAGCCGTCAATCTCAACCAGTAACTGGATTGCCTCAACCACTTGTACATCGACTACAAGTACCCTAACATTTTCTGTGGTGAACTCTCAATCAATGTATACTACAGTAGCGACATCAAATGGCAGTTTGTGCTCCACACCCGCCGTTGTGAGTACACCGGCTTCAATGACAAACTTAGTTGCAAATCCAACTCTGGACAAATTTTGCTCGTTTCAAATGCCAGTACCCGGTATTAATAGGAAGCGGAAAGGAGCCGTCGAGTCACTAAAATCGGCTCAAAAAAATAAGCCAACTCCTGTCAATACAACGCAGGGACAACGAACTGCGTCCTCCTCTCCGCCAGCGCTTCAAAATAATAGATTTGCAGCCCTTTCGGAAGAAGCTGATTCCATTATGGAAATGGAAGAGCCAGATTCCGAAGATCCATCGAGCCAGCAAAATGAAGCCAGCCGTTTCCAGCAGGGAAGTAGTATTCCTAAGCCTCCTGCTATATGTGTGCCACAAGTCAACAAATTGGATAAGCTGGAGGTGGCGCTCAATTCTGCTGTCTCCCCTAACGATTACGACATACGCACATCGAAATCTGGGATCTCGCGTATTTATACGAAGAATTCGAATGCGTTTCGTGCAATAATCAAATTATTGTCCAATCAAAATTGTCAATTCTGGCACCACCAGTTGAAGGAGAACAAACCCTGCAGATTGGTGCTCAGAGATATTCATCCCAATGTACCCAGGCAATTAATAGAGCGCACCTTTACCGACAAGGGCTTTACAGTTTTGAATATATATTGTCCCAGAAAACCGGACTGGCGTAACATTCAAATTAATGAGGAGGATGGTGAGGACATAAATAATGTTAAAACAAGACAAAATATGTTTTACGTTAACCTCCAGAACGCACCCAACGTTGCTGAGGCACTAAAAATAACTCAAATTGGTAGACACAGGGTTACAATATCAAAGGCCAAACAGAGTAAAGAGCTGGTACAATGCTTCAGATGCCAAGATTTCGGGCACACGAGGAACTATTGCCTTAAAAAGCCGGTTTGCGGTAAATGCTCGGGGGACCATGATACTGGCTCAAAATCATGTAACCTGAATGATAATGGGGAATTTATATGCGCTAATTGCGGCGAAGACCACATGTCGAGCTTCAGAGGCTGCAAGGTAAGAATTGATCTAGCCAAAAAACTTAAGCCAGCTGTGAGGTTGCCGAAAGATGGACTAGTTATCGGTAGCAATAGGAGTTACCCAAATAACCAAGGCACTAAAGTACAGTTTATCTCAAACTCTACTGTTAAGAGTGGCTTCTCTTATGCTGATGCAGCTAGGCCAATTGGAGAAAAACGTACCAGCGCGCCAACAAACCAAAACTCGCCCCGATCACACAGTTCCGCCGAAGATTGGCATCTAAACAACAAATTTAGTATGCTGGAAAAGGCGATTTTAGATCTAAACGCAAGAATGGATCAAATGTATAAGCTCATACAGGAAAATATGGATTCCAATAGAGCCTTCCGTGACTTGGTACAAAAACTAATATCCAAATGTTAAATCCGCTGTTAAAAATCGGATTATGGAACGCACGGGGCCTGGTCAAAAACAATGATGAACTCAGGCTTTTCCTAAGTTCAAACTCGATCGATATCATGTTAATAACCGAAACGCATATGCGTCCTGGCTTGAACGCATATTTGCCAGGATACGACCAGTACTACGCTAATCATCCTAGTGGCACCGCTAAAAGTGGTTCTGCAGTCATCATTAGATCAAGTATCGCTCATTCACAGAATGAGCCAATTCTAAAAACAAGCATCCAAGCGGCCAGCGTAACTATACCGACGAATGGTGGAAGCATCAAAGTCTCCTCCCTATATCTTCCTCCCAATGAAGCTTGGTGCAGGGCCGACTTTGATCTATTGCTTGCAACCTTAGGAGATAAGTTTATTGTAGGCGGTGATTTTAATGCAAAACACCAATGGTGGGGTAATTCCAGATCTTGCAGGCGAGGAAGGTGTTTGCAAGAGGCCATAGCTAGTACTACTTGCCAAGTTCTTGCTACTGGAGAGCCAACTTTCTACTCTTACAACACACGGCTTAACCCCTCTGCACTAGACTTCTTTATTGTCAACAGGATTGCCCTAAACAGACTCACCGTTGAAACAAAATATGAGCTCGCATCGGATCACCTTCCAGTAGTAGCGACGCTACATCATGCACCGCAATATAATCCCAAGAGGGAATATATTCTACCACCTGGCTCCCGTATTGATGTTTTTAAAGCCGATCTCGAAAGAAGAATTAACCTGAACGTCGAAATTAACAGCCCAGAGGATATCGAAGACGCGATATCAATCCTCATGAAGAACATTTCACTGGCTGCGTCTTCTGCTGCACCGAAAACTTTACGCTTGCCAACCCAACATAGTCAAGCTAGTCTACCACCAACGGCTGCTGCGCTCTTAAGCCTGAAAAGAAGAGTCAGGAAAGAATATGCAAGAACTGGAGATACTCGCATTCATCAAATCTACAAAAGACTGTCCAATCGACTGCAAAAAGAGCTTGCTAAAATCAGACAAGGCAGAATTGATGACATATTGGAAAGTGCTGGTCCAGATGCATCATTTAATTACTCGCTCTGGAAGCTTACGAGGCGATTTAAGAGGCTGGTCATCCCTAAGACTCCAATTAAGGATCCTACAGGTGGATGGAGCTACTCCAGTCAGCAGAAAGCTGAAATCTTTGCAAACAGCCTAGAGGAAAGATTTAAGCCTTTTGACTTTACAACAGCAGATAGGCGAAGGGTAGTCGAGCTTAGGCTGGAGATGCCATTCCAAATGGCCTTGCCTGCAAGCCCAGTTACACTTCAAGAAGTGGTACAGCAGATAAAAAATCTAAAGGTAAAAAAAGCGCCTGGAGAAGACCTTTTAGACAACAGGACGCTGAAACTGCTCCCCACAAGGGCTCTGCTGTATATTGTCTTGCTCATGAATAACATACTCAGGCTGAGGCACT